TATTTTGTTAATAGCCTTAATTAACCAGAATGTTGAGTTTTCTCCAAAAGTAAGAATTTTCTCCTCATTTGGCTTTGTTTTGGGATTTTTCTTTTCGCTTTTTTCTACTCTGGGTCCAATTCTGTAGTCTTGGTAGGGGATTAAGTTTCGGAAAATCATTATCATTATTTTTAAAAGTGGCAGTGTATTTGAATAAACTTGTTATTTGTTAATTATATTTAAGACGCGCTGAACATCTTTTATATGCTGAGATATGGTCCGCACCATACAGGATGCATTTACCCGAGCCTTTTTCTTTAACATGCTCCCATAATGCCAAGCTGGATGATACTGAGGATATTTCATGCATCTGTCTTTATTAAAGCACATTTGTTGGTTGTATTCGTAACGCTGGCACCCATGACATTGTACGGGATCAGGGTTTCAACGGTAGACTTCTACTACAACTCTCACCGATAGAAAATAAGTGCGTTTATAGATATTTTTGCCCTTCTCTGTTCTGAGAGTTTCCACCAGAAACGTGAGTGGGTGGGTCACTCAGCCGTTTTTGTATTTTGTTAACTGGTTTACTTTGTAATAGAGAATGTTTAGAGTTTTTACCTCATCTTCAATATAAAAAATTAGAACGTCTAACAAGTTTGTTGATTGCTGTCTTTAGGCTTTTCGGACTTCTTAATATAGGTATAAAACTGCATACCGATATTTCTTAGCTCTTTGTCTTCCGATAATCCTCCGTATTATGAAGTTGTACAATCATTAGGATTTTTTAAAGAAGAAGTACATTAAAAATGAGCAATAACCTCGCAGGGTTTCGAACCTGGACCTCTCGAAATACGCGCTGAGTGTGGTTACACCACGAAAGCACGCTGAGAAGAGGGAGAAAATACCTTGCAAAGTTTAATGTGGAATGAATCCAAAGCCACGAAGGCCATGAATACTGTTTTGGTGAAAAACTTAGGGAAGACCCCCCCCCCTCCACACACACACTGTGCAAACTGCTTACAACCTCATACTGCGAGCTTCAAGGGATGTGCGTATTACTCACAAAACAACAGACCAACAAGAGTGCTGGCATTAATTATGCTGATCGAGTTATCGTCAAAAAAAGCCTCCATACGTTGTATTCCCAGGAATACAAAACTTCAGTCATAGCCAGTGAAGCCAAGAAAATTCTAGATCTAATAGCACTTGTTTTCTTTTTCAACGACTGTGGACTAGCCCAGCTTCTTCATATGCTCTAAGACTAACGACAAATCAATCAACAACGTGAATAATCGTGCAACCATGACTTATATAAGGTTTCTGAAACTCTTTTACGATATGCAATGCTTTCAACATAAGAAAAAAAGCATTCATTTCATGATTTTATAAGAGATGGATAATGCTGATATGATCACTGAAACTCATGCTACTCCGTGTCACAACATTAAGATTGCCAGCTACAAATGCAAGCTTTTCAGGAATCGCGAAGGTAGTGTCGCGCTTTACCTATGACGATCCCTTGACTCTAGCCTCCTTACCATTGACAATACCAAAGTTACGAAGTGGTCATAGTTTAGTTGCCCTGCTTACCAATGGAAAAATTGTCATCTGCTCACTTAACAGTCCTCCCCCTACAATGCAAGATATGCATAACCTGCTAAGCGACCTTTTCCCTACCATCATAGATGGGAATTTAATTCAAGCATATGGACTGGAGTTTCAAAAATTCTATTAGCAATGGACACTTAATTCGTAATTACGTGAGCTTTAGTCCAGTCTACAAGTCTACTTGAGAAAATCACATACAGACTAACCATTTTAAATCGAAGACATGAAATAATACTCCACTTCTTCATCACCACAGTGAACATCCTACTAAACATTCATGTTGATAATGTTTTTACCTTTATCACATGTCTGTCAGCCATAAAAGATCACGATTTGGAGGCTAATTTACAATGCTGCAATTATCACATTTTCAAGTAGGAAATCTCAGAATCATCGGTGAAATTGAGAAATTTAACATAAACTTCATCAAATTCATAAGCAATCGACCTAGTCTTTCCCTCAAAAGTTCTGGGTACAATCAGCTTGTGGGTTACACTAAAGAGAACATTAAGAGCGAAAATCGTCTCCGTAAAATATTCAACAGGATTTCAAATTCTAAAATTACTAGAAAAAACAGCTGATCAAGAAAATAAAAGAAAACAGCCAGGCATACAGAGCTGAAAAGTGGAGTAATATCATCGATGACTTCTTAAAAAATAAAAACTTTTGAACATTTCTCAAACACCCGAAAAATCATAGAGACAACTCCCGTCCAATTAGGAATGAAAACAGTGCAGCGTACGCTGATCAAGAATAAGCAATTGCGTTCACCAAACATTTGTAGTCAGAATTTTAAAACAACGAATTTCCCATAGATCAAGCCCTGATGAGCATATAAAGGATTCACTTAAAATCTTCATCTAGTTGGTCAACCAAACTGCTCGTAAAAGTTTCAATTAATTTTGGCTCTCCCATAGAAATCAGAAATACCATTAAATTTCGCCAATCAAGAAAAGCATTAAGAAGTGATCATGTGATCAGCCGTATGTTAAAAAAATCCTAAACAAATACATCGTGCACACCTGCAATACCTTAAATATTTCTTTTGTGAAATTACTACTTCCCCCCCCAAAAAATGCAGTTATTTTCTAAGCTCTCTAAATCCCCACAGCTGATAACGTGTTACAGGCCTATCAGCCTGTTTTCCACGCTAGAAAAATTCATGGAATGACTCATTTGAATTCAAGGAAGTCTTGAAATCGTGGCTGATGATTAATGCGGCTTCAGAAATGAATTATCGACAATCAGACAGTTTGTGAGGATCTGCAAGTTTGTTGTCACTGCACTGCACAACAAACTGACTATTTCTAACTTATGTTTTCTGTCGCCAAAGGTTTCGACCACATCTGGCACGAGGGATTAAACTATCAACTTAATAAATTTTCTCAAGCAAACTATCAGAATTTCATCTTTCCTCCAAAACGGACTTGCACACTGTGGAATGTGGTTATAACAGCTCAGACACTGAGCACATCGCGGCGGGAAGGCCGCAGAGATCAGTTCTGTATTAAATCCATGCAAATGATTTTTATAAGGTTACACAGAATCATTATGCCCTGTTAGCCTCTTCCTGTTGCATGCGAAACAGTACTTCCTGCCTCAGTACTCACGTGGTGCGATTCTTGCCTAGTTGCTTTCTCAGTAAGAATTACCTGGCGCTTTACTGAGTCTCACTCACTGCCATTAGATGGCATCACAAGTACTCCCCATCAGAAAAGAACTTTGAGTGTTTTTTCAGCTAAAAATTAAAGAATTTTATGGACTTTGTTGAATTGTCTACGATAACAGCTACCTTTTCCTCTGCACAGCCTTTTGCAAAGACCTATTTCCTCTTCATAATGCTGACTTGACACTTCTTTGTGATCAGGACAGATGCTTCATTTTCTACTTCTCAATTCATGATTTTGGGTTTGCGAGGTTAACTGCCTCCTTTTTTTTTTTCTTTTACTTTTGATACTTCTTAGAGCTCAACACCATCAACACTCAAGATCAAGCCCCAATATGGGATAATTTTGTTAGAAACAGAAAAGAGCTGTGAAGAAACAGCGGCTGAATGCCTGTGTAACAAACAAGTATCCGACTACAACAATGTAAATTATAAAAAAAAAAAAAAATTAAATAATTTGTTTGCAGTTCGTATCTGCAATGGTATACTTTATGCACATATTTATATTTTGTTTTTTCTTTATTTGTTTATGTAGTACATTTTTAGGTAACTTTATTTATTTAAAATATATTTTGAAAAACTTTGATTTAGCTAATTATTGTGTTAATATGCATATTTCTGCACATATGATTTTGTCAAGCTTTAATTCAGTCCATTGATAATAAACTGAATTAGCTTAAAGACACTAGCTGGAAATACCGATTGAAGACAGCATGCCAAACAATAACATTTGGCACTTGATGATTTTTTTTGTTTGTTTCCAGATAATATATCATATTAGTCATGTATCCCCCCCTCTCTCCTACTAATTTCACCATTCAAAAACCAGGAGAGAAAAATACATGGAGTTTTTAAAGACATTGCTTAAATGATAAACACAGCACATTTAAAAAGTACACATAAAGACACACTACTATTATTACATTATGCATTTCAAAGCACTTATCAATTTCAATGATATTCTTTTTATACACAATTCTTACCCAAAATAATTTCCTATTTGTGCACACATTTTATATTGTTACGATAAATCAGAAGTTTCCATATCATATGCTGAAAAAACCGGTACGTATATGCAAGGACAGTAAATGTGGTATTAATAAGACTTAGAAGCAATTTTTCTAGAAGCTTCCATTGAGCAAAGGTATGAAGAATCATCTAGTTATTTAATAATCTGATGTACAAATGTGTTATTAAGTGCATTGCTCATTTTGATGTTCATCTTCTGTTAAGAATTTCAGTTTATTTTTTTGTTCTTCTCATCTGTAAAAACTATTACTGCCACAGATTAAAATAAAATTTTGAGTAAACTTAAAAATAAAGCTTTATTTGGCCTGGTTATTTGAATGAGACTGGATTATGGTAAAGCATACTAGGACTATCAAGCTCAGGGAATGCCTTCCTGAAGAACTTTCTGAGAAAACCTGCCTTGTATCAGACATAGGGAAAAAAAGAAAATGCCCATGCAGCCAGTCTTACTTAGCATAATTTGAAACTGGGTTAAGTGACAAGTGTTCAGCAGTCTTGCCATTTGTACACTTTAGCCTGGTTACATAAGCTGCTGATGAACTTGCAGCACATAACAATATCATATGACAATTTTTGACTAATTATTTGAATATCTTTAAGGATTTTAAAAATGTTAAAATTTTAAATATTTATATACCACTTAGCTGACATAAATTTTAACTATCTTTATATACATACAAGGTATAATGCAGATAAGAAAATCACACATAAGATATTTGTAAAACATTTTCATGTTATTTACAATATATACATAACAATAATATACATAATTTTTACAAAAATTTTAGTTATTAAATTTAGATATCAGTACTTTTTCTTCATAATATATTTTCCTCACAACAAAGTAAACTTTAGTTATTCCATACAAGGTTTTACAGTTCATTAATATAAGTAACTGGTTAGATATTAAATCATTCCATGCATATGATTGAAAAAGGACAACCATCTGGACTGCAATAAGTAAAAGCTGTAAAATCCACAATAGTTTTATTGGTGAACTTGGATTTTTGAACATGATCTGCAATAAAAGAGATACGAATCAGAAAGTTAGATTAAATAATTATTTACAAATGCAATATAATGTCTCAAAAATTTTTAAGAGTAAAAACAAAATATTCTTTTTTTAAAATTTTTTTATAAAGGCTTAAAAAATAAAGCTATACTTATACATAATAAAAAGAAGCTAGTATATCATGCATTTTTGTAAGCTAATTAATGTAGAGGTGTTATAATTCTGTTTTGTTTAATGCATCTCAGATTCAGAATTTTTATAATTTTCTTCTAAATTTACATGTCATTTAGACACATTATAAATTATATTATTAATAACAATTATAAATTAATGTAAATAAAAATGTTAATGAAGTTTAAAACTACTTATGAGTTTAGAATGTAATACAAGTTGTTCATTGCTGTTAAGTATGAACAAGTTGCAAATGAAATACAGTACAAAGTCCGTAATCCGGACGTCCATTATCTGGAATGATCCATAATCCGGACCTCAAAGCCACAAACTTACGCATGCGTGCTTAATGTGCACATCCGCTACGCATTCGTGTAAAACGTGTACCCATGCACACTTCCGATAGTGAAGAAAGTGACAGAGGTTATTGAAAATGAAAAAATTTCAATTGACAAGTTAGTCGGTATTCTCGACACAGCAATTACAGGACTTGAACAGTGGAACTTTGTAACCGAACAAGAAATTATGTCAGTTTATAAAATTAAAGAGAAAGTATTAGCACAAAAACAAAGCAACTTAAACAACTTACATTGAAAGAAATGTTCAATAAAGTAAACAAATAAATATTAAGCTTTTTTTTTTTTTTTTTTAATTTTGATACTCTTCAGATCATAATTGCTCTTTATTTCATAAATTACGGTTTCATATTTTTAATTGTATAATTTCTGCATGCAATCTTACAGATTTAAATTGATGATCTATAATACGGAAAAACCCCTAATCCGGAATCGCCAAAGTCTCGACGAGTCCGGATTACGGACTTTGTACTGTAGTTGATTTTAAGGACAATGTAAAAAAGAGGAAAAATATGTATTTAATTTCTAGCAATCTCTAACAGCATTAGTGCATTATTGCTAGATCTTAAAACGTATGCCGTTTTTCTAAAAATTATTTAAAACTTTCCAATTTGATCCAGCTTATTTTTCAGGCTATTACTATTACAGCTATCTCAGCAAAATTACAGTTTGCCTGCACTGAAAAGAGTTTCTAATTCTGGAGCTGTAACAGGATATGTAAAATGAAAACATATTTGCTACTTACCTTCTATAATGAGCACAATTTGGGCTTAAGAAGGTATGATTTCAAAAGTAGGCAAAATAATAACCTTATTTTGGCACATATTTTAAATGCTATAGAAGATGAAATTTTTCATTTATTGTAATTTGTGGACAAGCGATAATAAATGAAGATGTTGTAACAGTTTTTAATTGAGATGGTAATGCCCCAATTAGCAATCAATTAATATACAGGGATATCTATAGTACAGTTTTAAAATCAGAAAATATCACTAATTCAGTTTCTCGAAAATAATTTGATTTTGATTCACAGTTTAGTAAGGATTCTCAAAACGGCAATTAGAGGACTTGAAGAATGGAATTGTGTAAGCGAACAAGAAATTATACCTGTTTATAAAATTAAAAAGAAAGTATGAAAGTAGAAAAAATGAAGCAGCTTAGATAACTTACCTCCCAAAAAATTCTTTTTAGATCATAAATGCTTTATTATTTCATAAACAACTATTTAATACTTATAATTTCATAATTTCTATTTGCCATTTTACTACAGTTAAACTGATGATCTAAAACCCAGAAATTTGCAACATTTGGAATCGTCAAAGTCCCAACAATTCTGGATCTCAGACTTTGTACTGTATTAAATTAGCTATCTAAATTTTATATTCTTGGGCTAATTTCATTACGTAACTTTCTCAAATTTTTATAATAAGAAAATCCTGAATATTTTTCAGGTGCTTTTAAACACAATGAAAATAAAATTAATAATTAATGTACAATGAAACTAAATATTAACCAATTAAAAACTGCTTGAATCTGTAAAAAGTTGTACAAATATCTATGATAGATTAAAATAATTCAGATCAAATAAAATATATCAAGAATATAGCATGCTTAAAAGTAAATTGAAGAATGGAGTATGGACAATTTAACCCTTTCCACCTGACTTTTGCATGATTAAAATTTAACTATGAAAAGTAGTTTAATTTAATGTTGACATACTAAAAGAAATGTAATATAAGTTTTAATTTTTCCCATTTCCTGGAACTCTCCAGGGACAATATGTCCCAATTGTCTAGGATATTCTGATAACAACCTTACACTGCATGTGAATAAGTTATAAAGTTAAATGAAATGTACCAAACATTTTATTCTTACAGTACAAGTTAAGTACGATACAGCATAAAGCAGTCTTTACAAAGTGCAGCCTGACACATTTTGCACATAGGCCAGATTTCTTTAGTTATACATTTGTTTCCTAATTCCTTAAAAACACTGCAAACATAAAAACCCATTTAAAATTTAAAAGTGGGTTTCATTTACTCAATAGGTGAACGTATGCCTTTGCCCAACTCTGTCCCAATTTTGAAAGAGACTTTCTCTCCCATTCCCTACCACCAAACTACTCAAGATTTTCATCTTGCTGTGTATTTTCAGTGCTCCTATCTCATAAAGACACTAAGACGTCCAAGCCTTCTCAGGAATATATACTCAGACCCAAACATAAGGTAGCCAGTATCACTAAGGGCTATACTGATTAGGATGACACCAGGGGGGGAGATAATAAAAGAAGACCATTTAAAATTTTTAATGCATTTTATATTTTTCTTGCACTTTATATGTTCTTATATATTTCTGATTGATAATATATCTTTAAATTATGCTATAATATAAAGGCCATTTCTGATCTTTTTTCTTATTTTTTTATAACATTTTAAAATGAATATATTTGCTTTACTACATTCAATAATTGTTTAATATAAAAGTTTTTTACATTTACAATGATTTATTTCATTCTGTTATACCTGTACTATCTAGCTATCAGTGCATTACATAAAGCAGCATTTATAAGTATATACAATGTACAGTAATAAAGTTTGGGGAATGTGTTCATAAATAAAGAATTCTTACCTAAATCAGGGGGAAAAAATTATAGTGCTTTGAAATAATGTCTGTCATTTGCAATACAGTTTTGACAATGATTGTAAAGTTCTTAAAAACTGCGGAAAAAATTCTCTCTCTCTCTCACTCACTCACTCACGCACGCACGCACGCCGCACGCACACGCGCACACACACACACACAAACAAAAAAATAAAAAAAAAATTCTGGAGTAAGAGTACAGATGAATATAGTGGATAATCGAGGGCTAAAACTCCTTGACAGGCTGTAAATTGTTCCATGATGAGAGTCAAATACAGCAGGGAATTATCATGGAGGAAAGAACTAAATGCCTGCTTTGGCATGCTCTGAACATACATGAGAGATCTTTTGCAGTAAATTTACTAGAATATACTTGAACATGTCAGCATTTATTGTTGCTCTTTCTGGCTAACAATGCCATAGACAGAATCTGCAGGCTTTGTCTAGGATTATGATATGGGTCTTAGCAGTGATTATGATCCGAATCATAAGTAACTATATAAGAATATTAATTTGATAAATAATTTACTTTACTAAAAAGTGCTATTTTAGCAAATAATAGAAAAATAAATAAAACTGACAGTCAAAAGCCCTGCAGCTAGAGATATTTCATTATAAAACCACTGAAATATCTTAAACAGAAAATTTTATTGTGCACTGAATTCTAATACAGATAGTTTTTCTACTTGTTAATTATTTTAACTTGGCTTTTACAAGTTTATTATTTAACTCTACTTGCTAGGTTTTTAATTTGTGAATTTCATGTACAAAAAATAATTGGCTTCCAAGTCAAGCTTCTTGAGATATTATTTAAAAAAATGTGAGTCTAAGCTGGATTCCAGTAAATTGTAATGACCCTCCCCCATCTCTACAATGTTGATGGCTAAAATCTTCTTAATATTTTCAATGTTTCTGTCATTACGAGAAGTCATAGGCTCACCACTTTGTATAGCATCTTCAACAGAATCGTGTCCATCTTGAAAACTAAATGATTCAGAAATACACTTTCAAAATACAGCTTCATCAGCAGAAACTTGCTTCAGTGTCATGACTTAATTTTTCAGATTTACCAAGCTTGAAACAAAACTTTGAATTCATTTGCTGTTCCATTTTAACAGTTGCTTCTACACTTTCGCACACTAGAGTGATATTAAAAGAAATCTGTAATGCCTATTTCTGTGCCATGCTAAGATATAAGGACATTACACAGTTATCTTTCATCCATGACTGCTCATGTGTATCTTGTGACATTATTCATCAAACGCTATTGTTATACTTTGCATATTAAAATATTATTATTATATAAGTTTTAAATATTATTTTATCACAATGGTAAGTATTTGAATGACATACTTACATAAAATCTCGAGTGTGCAGCATGTCCTGGTTCTGCAGCATTTGATATACCTTCAGCTTTAAAAAGTTCCTTTGAATGCTTTACTAAAGCACCTTGATTCCACATAGTAGATTCTGACCATCTATAATGTAAAAAAAAAAAAAAAAAAAAAAAAAAAAAAGTTAATGTTCTAAAGAAAGTAGATAAACATAAGGGGGACATTGGTATTTTACATTCAAAGCATTTATACTGCTTGAGAATTTAAAAACATGAAAAATTACATCCTAATTGTCCAAGACTAGGAATACATGACTTCAGTTTATTTATTCCTTTTGTAAATAGTTCTGACTTCCTCTTCAAAAGAATTTAGTTTAATCTTCATATTACTGATTAATTAAGAGGAGCAACTCAATTCAATAAAACTTATAAAATAGAATTACACTACTCTAAACTTTTAATAAGAATTATCAAAGATCCATCTGCTTTACACAAACCAATATGTAAAAAAAAGTGTTATTAAATCCTCTTCTTCTGTTCTGCAGCCAGCTAGTGCTGCCATTAAAAATAGAGTTTGTATAAATTGCAGTGTTCAGAGTAGGATGTTTAACATATTTTATGGTTGTAATTAGGGCACATATAATTCTGCTTGATAAATTGAGCTATTTGTGTCTTTGCTTCAATACAAAGGTGATGCTGGATATTTCTGGATGACAAAAGCTGCAGTCTATTTTCAGTTCTGTTTTGAACCAATACATATATTTGCAAAAGTTATCTAGACTCATATTGCAGCCAGTGGTATGAATCTTTTTGTGCATATCATAGTTAGGTGTCCGTGTGTGACTACGACATGTCTCTCATAACTGAGATCATGAAATTTCTGTCCAGTGGCGGTTGTCTTGCTAATACCTGCTATGCTGCAATGGATATAGTTCTATATGTATGGCAAATTCTCAAAATTTGTAGCCATTGCAGAGATAATATTATAATACACATGGCTCGTTAGCTAGCTGCTTCATATAGGCACACAATATAGAATTAGGCATTCTGCGATGGCATGGGCTGTTGATCACGTTTGGCCAACAGAGTGAATCAAATGCTGCATGATTACAATGCTATTTTTTCTGAGTGACAGTTGATGGTTTTGCCATGTGGCAATATTTTCCATTAGCACATTTAAAGCATGTCTGGTGCAATGTGCATTAAAACAGACAAAAGATACATTAAAACAGACTATTTTAAGTGATAGTTGAGGCACAAAAACTTTTCTCACAGCTGGAAGCAGGCAGATCAGACAGTAAGCAGTAGACATAGCAGAATATTTAACTCATTTTCAGAAATACAGCAACCTCTGTTGGCTTCATATTATCAGGAAACTTTTATATTCCATCAGGCCCTGAGTAACGCATGCAGTATGATAGGCACAGAATTTTTTGGAATGTATGAAAGTATTAGCGATAAAACATTTCTAAAATGCTAAAAGAATGTTTTCTATAACGAACTATATGAGGTCAAAGAAGTAATCTACAATAAGCAATGAGAGAGTTAAATAATACATTATAATACAAAACAGTGTCTCAGAATGTGTAGAATGACCAAAGTGCTACGTAAGAATCATCAGAGACATAGTCATAGTATAACTGCAGCAAAATAATTTTCACCTCTAATAAATGAGGTTCCATTTTTTTTGTAGCTTCTGTTACTGAAGAATAATGGCAAACTCAACATGCTTACATCATACAACATTTTCTGTCATATTTGTCACGATTAACCTTTCTCCCATTTATATGCTGCTAGTATCCAGTCTTCAGATACACAGAAATATGGTCAGCCTATGTATCATATTTTAAAGCAAAATTAAGTAAATGTTTTTTAATTTTAAAAATTATGCTTATAGTTTTTATATGCTAATTGCATATAATAAGAATTATGGATTCTGGAAGACCATTGAAAGGGGAAATATTTCCTTATTCAAGCAAACATGATATTCAAAACATTAAGATCTATTTATATAACATACATGCAGATGGGAAAACTACTTACGTGCTATAGGGCACATGCACATTTTTAATTTCCACTTTTTGCCATCTGCCTAGATGCAGAGCTGCTCTGTGCAGTGTGTCACAATAACGGGGTGGAAAACAATGAGATGCATATAAAGTGAAGCAGCTAATACTAGTAAAGACAGCATGTTGTGTGACCCAGTTCACATCATAATATAATGCATTCTGAAATAATTTCAAAATATGACTTTTAAAAATTACCATTCAAGATAATTCAAATAAATAAAATCATTAATAATACACACGACTGAATTATTATATACATAATACACATGATGGAATTATTATACACATGACAATTCAGAATGATTTACTGGAATATCAGAGACACACACACAAAGGGGAGGGGGAGATGGGGAGAATCTCAAGCATTCAAAACTAGAATTTTTCATGTTAAATTATACTTTTGTGGAACAATTTAATACCACAAAAATCAATTTACAATAAAACATCCTAAAAATTCAAAAACATTTAAAGGAATAAAAAAGTAAAACATAAAAAATTAATTATTGCAATACTATTATGTGTAATTAATTAAAAATTAACTACATGTGATTCTCTAACAGTCATGCAACATACAGTATTAGAAACACTTTTTTTTTTATCAATTTCAACAATGCTGTAAATGTTTAAAAAATATATAAGTTGGATATATTATAAATTAAAAACATTACATAAACTAATCAATTAATTTAGAATGTATGCCTTGGCAACTTATGATGAATGAGTGCTTAATTCTGATTCTGCACTGATTGTTGTTGAGTTAGCGTTCATTTTTCATACAAGAAAAGGCATGTTAGAATCAGGGCCAGATCATTAATCTTTTCTATTTGATCTGTAAATGAATAAATTGCTGTAGTATTTTTAAACTGTTAAGCAGAGGAAAGTAAATTTTTTGTTAATTGATTGAATTGTGGAACTTCAAGTAGAAATATTAATAAATGTTGTAGTTGTATTTATACGATTGTTGTTAAGACTTTTGTGCGGATTCTAATTACACACAGGTTGAGTACTGTCAGGCAATCTAGCAGTTACCCACAGCTTAGATTTAGAGTAGTCAGGATATATCCTTATTAAAAAATTAAAATGAAGATTTTAATTATTAAGAACTATATATATATTTTTCATCTCTTAGACTGTTAACCAATTGGTTAAAAATTAACACTGGATAAATTAACACAGAAATTAAAGAGAATTGCATGTTTTGATGAACAGCGATACTTTGAGAAGTTATTTAATAGAAGAACTTGTAGAAGATAGATCAAAAATCTTATGTTTCTTGCAGTGGCAACATTTGCAAAGGGCTGCTTCTGCTTTTTAATGCTTCCAGTCTTCTCATCCTTTAAAGTGCTAAGGTATGACCACATGTACAGATTTTTATTTTATCATGACAAGATTTTATATATTAAGTAAAAAAAAAAAAAAAAAACTCCTTTGAGGTAAAGTAAATAAATAAAACCATATATATATATATATATATATATATATAGGGTGTCTATAATTAAAGAACCCTATTCAAAATTGCTACAACCAAAACTACTGATCAGAAAATTGTGAAATTTTGAGGCAGACTTAATTAAGGATGAAAAATGTTTTTCAGTGAAAAAAAAAAAAAAAAAAAAAAAAAAAAAATTGTTCCAAATAGCATCACAAGAAGCCACACCTTTACAATAGTTTTACAATTTCAAAAATTTTGTCACAAAAAACATGTTCCAAATGATGACAATCATTTTGAGCTACCATCTGAAATTGCAAGACTTTTGTGCGGATTCTAATTACACACACACATATTTGAATATAATTAAAAAAATTGTTACAAATAGCATCACAAGAAGCCACACCTTTACAATAGTTTTACAATTTCAAAAATTTTGTCACAAAAAAAAAAAAAAAAAAAAAAAAAAAAAAAAATGTTCCAAATGATGACAATCATTTTGAGCTACCATCTGAAATTGCAAGATGGCATGTTTCACAGTTGACCAAACAACGTGGGAAATGTTCAGCATGTGGCATGAAAAACTGGCTTTAAGATCAGGTAAAGGTCTTGGATTGTCACTACTTACCACTTGTTTCAAATGCCCCCAAAGCCAAAAATTACATGGCTTGAGGTCTGGGGATTGGGGAAGCCACACATTATGAAAGTGCGGCTGTTTTGGCATAACAATTTTATTAACAAAGCATGATCTTGCAAATTTATCGGCATTGTGAACAACAAGCACATTGAAAACAAAGTCTCCACAATTTTTTCTAGGTTTTATAGCAACTGCTCTATGACACCGCCAAAGATTTACATTTTCATTACAGGTTTTCAAAGTAAAATGCCTCTGGTGATGCTATTTGTAACTAATTTTTTCCCTCTGAAACACATTCTCATTCCTTCATTAAGTCGCCCACAAAATTTCGCAGTTTTCTGATCACTGTTTTCACTCATAGACAGCTTTGAAATAGGATTAATTATAGACAACCTGTATATGTAAACATATTTGAATATAATTAGAATTTAAAACTTGGTAAATCAAATGATTCACTTGATTTCACGTCATAAATTTTTAAGGTTAATTATACACATATTATATCAGTCATAACTATCTCCAAAAGATGTCCAGATTTTAAGTCTTATATTCTAAGCAATCTAAGTTATTTCCTACAGTTATACAAGCAAGGCTTGCTCAATATTCAAATACATCCCATGCAGCCTCCTACAGGCATTTTGTTACCGACTTTACAGCAATAACCATATGCTTTTTGAGATCATTCCAGGATGCATGAATTGTTGACAAATATTGTTCCAAAATCATTGAATTTATTATATAATTTTAAATTACAGTAGTAATCCTTCATGGAATTTGGTTTGTGATTTCTTTGCACAGAAATTCCAACTTTAAAGAGATGAAATTGCATATGCTGAGTCATTACAGACTATAAATATTAAATAACATGGCTGTATTTCTTCACACATTAAAATATATCATGCTACTAGTATGAAACTGTGATATTGACTACTATACCCAGTGGATCTACAACATTTTAGGATTGCTACATAATCAAATTTAAATTGTGAAAAACTACTTTACCTTTTGCATATAAAGAGCAAAACTGAAACTGTAGTTACGGATATAGAGTGCAGTTTTCTTTTAAAATTTACTAATATTATAGTTGATTAAACATAATATTTCCAGAAGAAAATAATAAATGTATGATCTGAAAAGAAGATCAGCATGGCCTTTTTCTTTTTTAGCAAAAGATTTTAATGCCTTCCAATTTCAAACCAATCAGATCTATCAGACCATGATACAATCAGATCTATCAGACCATGATAACACGGTAATGTCACATAGATATTCATATGAAATGTTTGCAGAATGTAGGCGTGATGAATGCAGCACTGCTAACACTATTATATAAAGGGATGTTCTTCTGAATCCTTTGTTAAAATTAACAGAGACATGGCTTAGGTGTTGAGACAGTAAAGCAAATGGAGGATTTGCCCCTCCGCCTGGAATAGAATGAAAAATGAATTTTCTGAGTTGATGTATGCATATTTGTGTGTCTTATATTCTTGTTTTTGTATACAGCATGCCAAACATACTATGTATATTTATTTTTAATTGATATACATATTTGTTTTTGAACTGATAGTATATTTTATAATTTAATTATGAATTCCCTTAACTAAATAATTAAATAATTTAATAGTGTTAATCATCTCAACTCCCCCCCAAAAATATGGGATAAAAGTGGAAAAATTAATTGTAATAAAAAAATATGCATTTGTTGGAACTTCATTCAAAACAGAAACAAAATTTTATTTATTTGTAATAATAATAATAATAATAATAATAATAATATAAAAAAGCTAAAAAATGGCATTTTGAGAAGCTAAGTTTAAAAAAAATTTCAGTAATATTATGATATACAAAAACAATAACATTAATTTTGAAAATAATTGTAAAGCCTAATTTAGGCCAAGATAATAGTTCAGAAAGGGGGGGAGTTATACTTTTCAGTTTTACTGATGATCAAGATAGTGAGGGAAAAATATTGTAGAATTTTTCAAAAGAAAAGGAAAAAAATGTTAAAAAAAAGGGGGGAAAGTAGCATTTATCACTAAATATTATTTTTGTGTGAAAAAAGACTTGAAATACTAGGTGAGGCTGAAAAGTAAGGTGACTCACCCCTCCTTTCAAAAACGAGAACAGCCCAATGACCTGACACATGTGCATTGTGATCTTTGGTATGCAATGTTGAAGTTAAAGTTCAGGGTCATTTGCAAAGTTTTTGTTTGTTCGTGCAGTCGCTTAAATGTGAAAGGTATTAGTGCATTGTATAATAGAGCAGAAAATGAATCCGAAATTCTGTTTTAAAATAGGTAATATTGCTATGGAAACCTTGAAAATGCTTCAAAGTATGTATGGCAAAGAATCTTTATCTCACAAGACAGTATTTCAGTGGTTCAAACTTTTCCATGAAGGTCGTGAAAGCGTGGAGGATGAGCATCGCAGTGGAAGACCATTGATGAGCAGAACGATGGCAAATGTTGAAAGGGTTAGGAAGTTATTGCTGCAAGATTGCCGTTTGTCCATTTGAGCAATGAGGAATGAACTGAATCTTTCTTGTGAAATCGTCCTAACAATATTGACGCAGGATTTGGGTAAACAGAAACTTTGTGCAACGTTTGTCCCTCATTACTTAAACGATGAACAAAAGCAGCAGTGATTGGACTCCCGTGGCGACTTCATGAATGCAGCAGATAAAGATGGCATGTTTTTACAATCAATCTTCAGAGGAGATGAAACGTAGTGTTTTGCGTATGATCCACAAACGAAATGCCAAATCATGGAGTGGCGAGGTCCCTCATCGGCAAAATCGAGAAAGTTTCATTTTGAAAAATCAAAGGTCAAGACAATGTTGATTACCTTTTTTGACGCACAGGGAATTATCCATAAAGAATATGCACCGGAAGGTCAAACAGTTAATGGTGAATTTTATTGCCATGTTATGAAGCAAATCCTGGTTCGCATTCGTTGTGTTTAGCCCCATCTCGCTGCATCAGGCAAGTGGTTTCTGTTGCATGATAATGTATGTCCTCATACTGCAATGTGTGTTAGATGGTTCCTTGTGCAGCAAAAGGTTACAGAGTTATTTCACCCTCCTTATTCCCTTGGTCTTGCGTTAGCAGGCTTTTTCCTCTTTTCCCGACTGAAATTGCCACTAAAAGAACACCAATTTCAAGCTGCTGTTACCAAGGAACTTAACACAGTCTCAAAGGACTCTTTCAAAAGCTTCCAGAACTAGTATGGACATTGTCAGAAGTGTATTGTAGATGGCAGGAACTACTTTGAAAGACAGTGATGTATTTATATGTAAATATACTTGTATAATACAATTATTATTATGACATCAGCCACCTTACTTTTTGGTCTCGCCTTGTAGAAATGAAAAGCCTAATAATACATTCAAGATGCATCCCTGCTCAAGAATATAACCACGGTTATATGAGCAAAGTTTTTCATCAGGTTTCGTTCAGATTAGGTTTTGTCATCATAAAGCTTTGTGGTTCATAAAAGTCAAGTCCATTCTTACCTATTTAACAGGGTTTAAGTCGTAGCCAATCAAGGAGGGAAAAGTTATGCATGTGAAAATGCATGGCTGACTCAGCGAAACCACAGATTGATGTTTGCTGTGCTATGATTTCAAGTTTGTATATCAAGTTGGTATAAAAATAAAAAGTTAGAACTTTCAGGCAAAATCCTTAAACCAATTTTTGTGACGTATCAAAGTCTGGTTGCTTAGAAATGAAGGTTGACTTAAATTTCTTACAATTATAAAACCATCATGTGAATGAAGCTTCACAGATAATTCTGTACCTGACCAAATATAATGACAGATTCTTCATCATTTAGCAGTTCCCAAATCATAAAATTCCTCTTGCTTCTCTGTCAAAAATCTCCCCAGAAAATTTCACTAAATCAAAATATGTGCAGTCCATAGTGTTAGAAAACAGTTAGCGGCACCAATGCAATTTTAATTAGCATCATCAATGTTCTTTTATGTTTCCTGAAATATTGATCATTAGTGGTTTTCTACAGGAGGCAGTCACTAAGACAGAGTTTACTATACTTCCTACACTTATATTGTTAAGTACACACATTATAAACTGCAAAAACATCAGCTTATAAAAAGCTAGATTTAGAAAGGTCAGACCTTTAAGTATTTTATGCTTTCTAGTCTTCTTTCAACTTTGTTAGTAACAAAAACTTGAACTTTATAAAGATTTAAAGCACAATATGGAAATACGAAAGTAAGCAAGGATAAAAGCAGACAAAGATATGAATACAGAAGTAAGCAAGGAAAAAAGCAGAAGAGAATGAAGATATGAATACTCAACCTCTGAAAACAAGAATAAATTCCAACCCCTAAAATACAGTGTAAATAAAACTCTAAAGTTAAAAACAATTGAAACTGCAACCTTAGGTACCTCATAGGCACTAAAATGTAGCACTGAACTTACACAGTAAGAATTTTATATCATTCATGTAACAAGCAATCAACTTGAAATGTTTGAATGCAACCATATTTCTTTATACTATAGGGATATTATCAAAGGAGATGGATTTCAGATAATTCCATATTAGCTTTTTATTTTCAGGACTAATTTGATCTCAAAATTTTTTATCAGAAAGTTAATAATTGGATACTATTTTGTATTCTAATTACAGCACCTCCTGTTTTGTGAACTTTTACATGGGAAAAAAAATTATTTGGCAATATAACATGGCAATTATACATATTTAGATAAAACAAACACTTAATATATATTCAATAATTGTATATGATTTAATTATTCTCACCGTAGCGAAATAGCATGGCAGAAAAGCTGCATGGTATACAACAAGGAGAGAATTGAAAAGAACTTGGGTAAGTCTGTCATTAAAATCATTTTTTAGGACTTCAACCTCTTCTCTGATAGCTTCAGCAGACATAGAGCAAACATGGGCAACATTAGAACTGTTTTTACCATTTGTTCCACTTTTGCTTCTTGCACCAGTTGCACGCTCAGGTAAATATGATTTAAGTTCCAAAAATTTATAAGCTTTCTGTCCAAACACTATAGCACTAACAATAAATCTAAAAAGGTATACATAATATATTGTTATTATAACAGCCTTATACATTAATCTGTTATTACATTAATTAACTATGAGTTAATAAAATCAGCAATCAAGCACTTATTAAAGATTAAGTATATGGGCAGTATTTACTACATTCAATTGGCAAGATAAGGGTTTGTGGAGAATTCTCCAATAATTCTGCCAAATGAGCAGGAAGAAATTGACAGTTTCCTTCAGTTTATAACTGTACATAGCAAAATAAACAGCTGCAAATAGCTCAAGGAGAAAGCAGAAATAAGAAAAATTCTATTTAACAGATGGGAAATATTGTAAATTACCAATATCACTCACATAGTAAACTCAAAAACAAAATTTATTATTCACTTAACTAATGCTTAACTCTGAAGTAACTGATTCACCAATTCTCAAAGTTGTAATTAAATACGATTGTTTGGGCTTCTAGAAGGTTTTGGAAAAAACAACTCTTATGGCTTCAAATATGTGTTTTCCACAGTTTTCTAGAAATAATGAAATCGACAAATGTCATTAAGTTGATAATTAAAATAGTTGCCAAGCCCTAACAGGAGATTTTCTGTCTATATTTCAACTTCTAGTTAAGCTATTTTCCCAACTTAAATGTTAATGCATTCAAAATCATAAGAACCACAACTCTAAACATGAAATAAGCATTTACATATGAAATAAGTGGAAATAAATTCCATCAAACAAAATACACCTAAAACTTATTACATAAAATGCAGCAAACAAATAAATAAAAAAAATTATAACAATACATATACCGAAACCAAAATGCAATAAAATAATATTCAAATATTTATGCAAATTTATAAAATGTATGCAAAATTATCAGAAATCTGGGATTAACTGAGACAATACTAGATTTGTAAGTACATCTGGGGCTATAATTACAAAGAAGTCCAGGACTGAAATTAGTGATTAGAAAGTTACAGTAGAAGATATTATTTGTACAAGAAAAGAAGTCAGAGCCCTCAAAACCCCAGAGTTGTTTTTACTAGTATGCAGGTATTTTCAAACCAAATCAATTATTTTTTAGGCTCAGAGAAGAAAATTTCATGAACATACCATTGCTTCATCAATATCTTCACAGTGAACTTATGGCAGAATATATACGTTTTTACATTTTGTTAATCAACTTTTTTTTCGGATTATCGTTTCTCAGTTCATACAACTAATACTTTCCTTCTAGTGATATATAACTTACAAGTCATAGGCTTTCTTACGCAGAAATAAGACTATTTGAAAGTGTATTGAAATTTCTTCAACAGTAGAAAGTCCAAGATCCGGACTCGTCGGGACTTCGGTGATTCCAGATTTGGGATTTTTCCAGATATTAGACCATCAGTTTAAATCTTAAGATGGTAAGTAGAAATTTAAAAAATTAAATCTTGCTTTATGAAATAATGAAGCTTTTACGATCTAAAGAACTTTAAAATTTACCCCACCCCAAAAAGGCTCAATATTTGTTTGTTTACTTTATTAAACATTTCTTTCAATGTAAGTAGCTTTAATTTTTGTGCTAATACTTTCTCTTGAATTCTATAGGCAGACTTAATTTCTTGTTCAGTTTCTTGTTTCATTTTGTTCAATTTCTTTATTAATAGAAAAATTCCTTTCCACAGATGCCTGTCCATGCGACAAGATAAGAATAATTTTTGTTAATTTTACTGCTTGTGTTTAGTGAAAAGAAGAGAAAATAAAGAGAAGATAAATACTTTTAAGAAAGACTTCTAGGATCAAAAGTAGAAAATACAAATAATTATGTTTCCATTGTTTATTCAAAAATTCCCCAAAAAATAAATAATTCACCATAAACGTCTTGTAAAATATGTCCATTACATGCTAATACTATGAATACATTTTTCATTTTGTCATTTTTCTGGAATCTTAGGCCCATAAATCTTCCCTTCAAATCCTTCCAAGATGCTAGGTCTGAAATCCAAAAGAAAAATTATCCCTATCAATTCTGCAAGAGCAAAAAGCTAGGGGGAAAAAAAAAAAAAAAAAAAAAAAAAAAATCTGATTTGTACAATACATGACTTCCTTGTACAGAATATTAAATTATGCACATTTTTTCTTGTACAGTCAAAAGTCTTTAATCCGGACTGATGCAAAAGCAAAGTTTAAAGTTTATAAAATTAAACATTTAACATGAGTAGCAATAGAAGCTCCCTGAGGCTATGTGCTGTGCAGATATTGAAGACAATAAAAGGTTTCAAACTTAACCAATTTATTAACAATATATAAAAAAATAAAAACACAATGAATAAATTTAAACAATATCAGTAACTTAGAAATTATAATATAACCATCATTATCAAAAAATCTCATATATTCAAATAGTATTTTACCTGGTCTCCAAAATACTGGCATTCAATACGTGAAAAAAAAAACGTATCCTAAACAGAAATTATGCGGTTTTCAAATGAAATTAGCTACACTGTCAATAGGTCCATGCTTAATGATCAAAGAAGAAAGCACCTGAAAATTAAATTAAGTCCTTGAGAGCACTTAAATCCGGCCTAATACTCCGCTCACTGTAGTTGAACACGAGGAATCATAGCTCTAGAAAAAACATCACCGCTAACTTATGTTAAATGCCGCCTTCATGAAGAACATGGATGCCGCCCACGGCAGTCACTCCACATTGTAGCCTCTTTTGAGAATCCAGGAAAAGTCATCTTGTAAACTGGAACCAAGGAACATATTCCGGGAAAAGTCAATCTTGTAGACTGGAACCTCGGAACTTATCCCCGGACTGCATGCATCGCAAAGACGTCTTTCAATAGGGGCTGGAAACCGCACACCCAAGAAGCCAAGAAAGCAGGAACTAGAAGGGTTGAGCCAGAGCGACGCGAGATACTTATACCAGAAAGTAGGCATGACGTCATCTCACGGCAAACCAATCAGCTATCGGCACGACTCGGCTTTCCAGATGACGTAACATCACGTTTCGTTTTTGCATCTTAATTGGGTTGAAACACTTCCGTTCTCAACACAAAACAGTGGCAGTAAAAAAAAAAAGAAGTAGAAGTAACTACTATATCCCTTTAAAATAAGAACTAAGCCTAATAAATATTTCAAGGAAGAGAGATGATGCAGAAAAAGGGTTACAATAAGTCATATTTTCCAACACGGACGTCCATAATCCAGAAAGATCTATAATCTGAACCTCAAAGCTACAAACTTTCTGCGCATGCGTTAACACATTATGCATTGACGCATGCGCATAATATATTTAAATAATATATTACGCATGCGTGTTTAATGTATAACAGACGGTATAAGCTAAGCTAAAGTTATCTAATTATCTTTTTCAGTTAATGTTGCAGATTGTGTTCTTCCTTAGTTTTCTAATTGAATCCGGATTACTATTTTTTGCAGACTGTTAGAGCAATTTTATAAAAGTAAGCTTGAACTTTGGATTATGTCAAAAAGAATTTCCGATTCTGGAGCTACCAAAGGACCTACAAAGCGAAAGCATGTTTCGATGCCCATAAAAAAAAAAAAGTGGAATTGCTGCCAAAAATGGATAAAGGCATATACTTTGATACTCTAACCATTCCGAAATATATTTATCAATTTCCCGCTGCTCTGCCGGAGGGGGGGGGGATGTCGAGGTGCGCAATGAACTGGAAGTTGATCTGTTAGCACTATCCTTATTTTCAGGGCAGATGTTTTTATTTAATTCTGCTTATAATTCCTTACTAAATGTAGTATTTCATCTCGATGTACTCTGTCTTTGATATTGTTACGAAATGTAAAGGTGCAGTAAGATGGCTTCCCCGCAAAGCAGTTTTAGGGTTGCGATAAAATGGCAAAGGAGTTGCCATATTTGGTGAGAAATCACCCATTTGGCAATATACCATGGATGGTTGAAGAACCTTCTGGAACGAATTCTCACCGGTTTAGCAAAGAATGTTTAGCAAAGAAAGCCCGAACACAAGCCGAAAGCTATATAAACCCTGCTGGTCTGTAGTCAGTCAGTAGTATCGAGAGAGTGTGTGTGCCTTGTCTAGCCAGCTGATAGTAATTGAGCGAGTGTCTCGAAGTCTAGCGCCGAGTTGGTCGTCGAATGCATCGAGAGTCTTTTAGTGCATTGTGAATTAGTGCATCGTCGAGTTTTGTCTTAGACAGTGCTGAGTAAAGAGCTATACTCTTGTGTATTGTCGAATGCATCACGTGGAGAGTCTCAAGAGTACGTGGAGAGTCTTGAGAGTACGTGGAGTTCCGAGAACGACCAAACAGAGTCGGAAGCTGTACTCTGGTGAAGCTGTCTCCACCATTATTGCCTGACAGTGTGAAGGCTGTGTCGCTGATTGTTCCAGTGTGTTTATAGTAGGTCTTCAATGACTGTAAAAAGTGTTATTGAACCTGTCCTGAATAATATTGGCTAAATAAAGTGTGTTTCGATACTTCATCAAGTGTCGTCGTTATTCACTCCAAATCTACGAACCCCGTATGAACGTAAAGGAAGAAAATAACGTAAAAACTGGTGTCAGAAGAATAAAAAAAAACATGTAACAATATGATTTAAATCAAATTCCTCGTCATTATAAATATCCCGAATACACATCAAATAGTTTTCGGGTTGCAATTTTATAATTTCGACTATGAGGAACATATGCTTTATACATGCACATGGTAAAAGAAATGTTTAATAAAGTAAGCAAATAAATAGCAAGCTTTTTTTTTTTTTTGTAAAATTTTGATACTCTTTAGATCATAATTGTTCTTTATTTCATAAATTACGGTTTCATATTTTTAATCTTATAATTTCTGCATGCCATCTTACCAGATTTAAACTGATGATCTATAATCCGGAGTCGTCGAAGTCCCGACGAGTCTGAGTTAAAGACTTTTGACTGTATTTCATTTAAACTTATTGGATTGAATTAAATCTACCTCATCGATAGCGCAAAAACTACAACAGAATAAATGCACTCTTTAAAATTCACTATATTTATTTACTATAGA